ATCATTGTTCCGGATGTAACTGCTCATGGAGTTGTCAGAGGTGAAGTCAGTGTTTATTGAACGTTTGGCTCTGATTAAGCGACCTGGCTTCTGCGGGGTTAGATACGTGTTAGCTAAAATGGCCGGCACTAGCCCCGGGACCACTTTATAGAGAAATGTTAGACGGAGCTTTTCTTATCTGTCTTTGAGGGAGGGGATCTCAAATGTTCATTCTTACACTCATTCGGCATCTAAGGAGAAATGAGGAAGAATTCTAAGCCTGGTCTAGTTTTTATAGAAGAAACTTCAAATTTCTAAGAAAATATCGCTTCCATGTCACCTAAGTTTGACGAAAAAAATATTTTATAATATAAGGAGATGTCATTTTCTGTCCTCAGAACGGCAGCCTAAGAAAAGAATGAGTTGATCTAATAAATATCTGGTACAAAGGACAAGGGAGGCAACAGGGGAGAAAACAACCGGGGTCGCTTGAGATAAAGTGCGCAACATACTGGCTTTCTAAAATGTTCAGACGCAGACGACATTTTGAACCAGATCTTCTCCTTCGTCTCAGACCTGACTCAGATCAGACTCTGAACTGCACACAAGGTCATGGCAAGCCAACGCTGCGTCTGGGGCAAAGGCCCAAACTTAAGGCGCCCTTAAATCAATAATCTTATATATCAATTCATAGAGTTTGCCATTTAAAAATAAGTGACACTTTTTGGCACACTCTCTATTGCGCCCCTCCCTCTTGTCGCAAAGTCCTTACCATGAATTTGGAGTAGACTTTTTTTGGACGAGCTCAGGCAAAATTAAAAAAAAAAAAGACAATTATTTTCCAGCTCCTCTCTGAGCTCCCCTCTGAGCTCCCCTCTGAGCTCCTCTCTGAGCTCCTCTCTGAGCTCCTCTCTGAGCTCCTCTCTGAGCTCCTCTCTTAGCTCCGGCAAAATTAATAAGGGAGGAGGGGTGGTGTGTTTGTGGGGGAGGGGGCTAAGTGTATAAATAAATGTGTGTATTATTGCCACTAACCCAACTTATTAACTAGGCAATGGATATGCATGGACCAGCACCAAAGCTGTACAAGAGTATTGCAACACAGCTGTTAGATGACTGGGGCAACATACCTGTACAAGAGTGTGGCAACATAGCTGTTAGATGACTGGGGCAACATACCTGTACAAGAGTGTGGCAACATAGCTGGTGGAAGAATGGGTAGAACGTAGCTGTGGAGTAGTGGGGCAGAATATTTGTAAAAGAGTGGGGCAGCATAGCCGGTGGAAGAGTCGCTACAGCTTACTGCTACCCTGTGGTGAGTCGCTACAACTTACTTCTACCCTGTGGTGAGTCGCTACAGCTTAGTGCTACCCTGTGGTGAGTCGCTACAGCTTACTTCTACCCTGTGGTGAGTCGCTACAGCTTACTGCTACCCTGTGGTGAGTCGCTACAGCTTACTGCTACCCTGTGGTGAGTCGCTACAGCTTACTGCTACCCTGTGGTGAGTCGCTACAACTTACCGCTACTCTGTGATGAGTCGCTACAGCTTACTGCTACCCTGTGGATGGTGAGTCGGTACAGCTTACTGCTACCCTGTGGTGAGTCGCTACAGCTTACTGCTACCCTGTGGTGAGTCGCTACAGCTTACTGCTACCCTGTGGTGAGTCGCTACAACTTACTGCTACTCTGTGCTGAGTCGCTACAGCTTACTGCTACCCTGTGGTGAGTCGCTACAGCTTACTGCTACCCTGTAATGAGATCGTTATTTCATCCCAGTATATGAATGCAGGTCAAATCAAAGGGCATTATTTAGAAAGTTTATTTATGGATATCGCTTTGCCATTCGTGTCGAGTTCAACCCATTACTTAACGAATGCAGTTTAACCAAACACTATTGTGAGCACGCTTACATGGATAAAATTAATTGTCCCCATTTGGTTCTACAAGTTCTCGAGTAAATCTACTAAGAGCACCGTAATGATCAATGCTCAGAACTACCAACCCATCTCTATACAGAGACACCACAGAATGTTGTCATTACAGGGACTAGCGAACCATCAGCTCTATACTGTGACAGAACACAAAATTATCCCCCCCCCCTCTCCTTTTCCCCATAAAGCCCATCGTTTTGTTATCGTCGTCTGTTGGAAGCCGTTGTGACGTTATGTTCAGTGTTTGAAAGTTGGGAAAACCACAGCAACCTCAAATTGTGATCAGTAGTGCTATGTGACGAGAACACTTAGAACTCTTATAATATTTATTCTCTTAAAATATCTAACGTGTTTCAATTAACTAGACACGAACAATTTGTGTCAATATAACATATGTTAAGCTTTAATAATAATTTTACATAATACATTAGAAGGCATACTGTGCATGTCTGATGTATTTAATTGCACTCCTCTAAGGCCTTTGTTCTATGCGCCCACTTGGCTTGCACGCCTTGAAATAGCGCCTGACCTGAGCATATATAAAATTAAAAGGATATATTTGAATTTTTAAAATTAAACTGTGCTTATATAAAATATGTTTCTCTCATTAAAAACAACGGATTAGTATAACTATTATTATTATTTTTTTTTTAATTTTTTTTTTTTTAATTTTTTTTTTTTTGGGGGGGGGGGGG